CCTGTTCCTGCATGTGACATCCAAAGGATTACTTATTTAATGCATGTGTGTTTGCATGAGTTTTTATGCACCATGTGCATGCAGGAATCCCCAGCAACCAGAAGAGGGCTTCGGATCTCCTGGAACTGAGGCTACAGGCAACTGTGAGTTGTCATATCGATGCTGGAATTGAACCCTGGTCCTCTGTAAAAGCAGTAGATTCTCCTAACCCCAGACCCATCTTTCCTCCCCACCACCTGATGTTTCAGGACCTTTGCCTGTGTTTAGACGGTTAGGTGCGAAATGAAAACCGCAGTCAGTGTGGTCCACTGAGTGGTCAGGGTCACAACCGTGCCTTGAACTTTGACTTCTGATGTGAGAATCAAGGAGATCAGAGCTAAGACAATGGGAGTCTCTTCACTTAGCGGCCCTCTGTCAGAGAAGGCAATGATAGTGGCTGAGATAGAAAAGGCTTTCGTGGGGGGTGGGGGGACACTGGAATCTTTGGCCTCATTTTGGTAGTGCTGTGGGTAGAACCAGGCCCTTCTGCACTCTGGCGGGCTAGCCACCAGAATGAGAATTTAAACCAAGGCTGCCCTGGCTATTTAGTGAAGGGAGAAATAGAACCTAGGCTTCCAGCTGTGAAAGGACAAATGGGACAATGGGGAATGGCTAGTGTTTTCTGAGTCCCCAGGTACTTCACTATGTGAAGCTTATTGATTTCAATAACCCTATGAGGTAAACAATATTAGAGTTACAATTCCTGTTTTACAAGTAAAAAATAAGCAAGTCATACACTCAATTAGTATAAAGTGTCAATAACTTAAAATTTAAAATAATGAAATACATCTTTTTTTCCTAGACAAGACTGACTATAATGCTGTCTATCAGACATGCCAGGTACTGTCATGGCTATCCTCGCTTTATTTTGTTCTTTTGGCTTTTGAAACAGGGTTCCTCAGCAACAGTCCTGGCTGTCGTGGAACTCACTTTGTAGACCAGGCTGGCTTCAAACTCAGAGATCCTGCCTGCCTCTGCCTCCCAATTGCTGAGATCAAAGGTGTGCGACACCACCACCCAGCTTCTAAGGCCATTAATCCAGCATCTTTGGATTCCCTGGAGTTAACAAAAAACTAGAACAAATGGCCAAAGTCCTGCAGAGTCAGAGGAAGGACTGTAGTCCTGTTAGAGTGACACACTGTACTGTCAGGAGGGAGGGTCCCTAAAGAAGGCTAGGGGACACACTGTACTGTAGAGCGGGTCCCTAAAGAAAGCATCCCTTCAGTAGCTACTTCCTTTTCTTGTGGCTTCACACAACACAGGTGATTATCCTGCCTTCAGAACAGTACAGATAAGCGGGACAGAGGCTTAAGCATACCAGAGATGCTCAGAGCACTTGCCTCTTGTGTGCAAAGCTTCAGCCCTTTGGGGGGAAGGGGGAGGAGGACTGAAGCAGGCAAATCTGGGTGAGTCAGAGACCAGGCCAGTCTATATAGCAAGTTCCAGGCCAGCCAGGACTGTACAGTGAGACTCCCTCTCCAAAAATACAATAAAAATGAAATGAGGTCAGTCCTCTTTAATAAGTGAGGGGCTGGAGAGATGGCTCAGTGGTTAAGAGTATTGACTGCTCTTCCAGAGGACCAGGGTTCAATTCCCAGCACCCACATGGCAGCCCACAACTGTCTGTAACTCCAAGATCTGACACCCTCACACAGAAATACATGCAAGCAAACACCATTACCAATAAAAATAAATTTTTAATAAAGTGAGTACTGTTAACCAAAATGTTGGTAATTGAGCTCACCCAGGAATGTCAGTCAGCCCTTTGTTTTAGGGTAGGGGGATGGCTCAGTTGCTAAAGTGCTTGCCACAAAAGCATGAGGCCCCGAGTTTGAACCCTAGCACTCATATAGACAACTGTGGCAACCATGTTAGAACTGAGACCAGAGGATCCCTGGGGGCTTGCCAGGAAGCCAGTCTATCCAAACCAGTGAGCTGCAGGCTCACTAGAAACTACTTCAGAAACAGAGGTGGAGCGCTGCAGAGGACATCTGATATCAGCTTGTGGCCTCCACATGCATGTGCGCGCGCGCGCGCGCACACACACACACACACACACACACACACACACACACACACACACTACAGAAGTGTGTGGCTTTCTATGCAGACAACCATTTCAAAGAGGCCATGGTTTCTGTGACTTGTTGGATAGTTCTGTTATAGGGAGGGCTCCCCTGGTCTGGTCCTGCTAGATACTTGGGCCACTGGGAGAATGAGGTGAATGGAGAGAGTCCGAGGTTACCTTCACAACTTTGCAGCTGTGTTACTTTTCAGTCTCAGGTTGAACAAGGTCACAGGTGCTATGGCTCCCATAGGTGACCCCAAGGTGGCATCTTCTTAGGGTGGCCTAGGGATAGTCCTGTGGTTACTGGGGGACTCTGGTCCCCATGTGGGAGGCTGCAGGGTCCCATTTTAGACCAATATGTGCTCTACTGGAAAGAAATTCCAAAGAAGAAAGCCAGCCAGTGACGTCAGGATAGGCTTTTTAATCTTACAGTGAACAGTGGACCAACAATCAAGTTTCAACAAATCTTGAAGGATGGAGATCATATGCATCATTATTACTATGAAACACTTAATATACAATTAGAAAGTGCATTGTGGGAAGTGGGAGATGCACATTTAATAACCCATGGGTCATATGGCCAGTTAGCTCAGTTGGTTAGAGCTTGGTGCTAATAATAACCCATGGGTCATCCATCCCCTCACTCAATCATTCCAAGGTTTGTAAGACAGGCCCTCACCTTACATATGCAGGGAAGATGACATCATTTGACCCGATTCCTGACTCTCAGGCTTGCTTTGGTGGCCCTGACCTGAAATTGCTATTCAGAGATGCATTTCCCTTCTGAACTTGCCCCTTCAGGGTCCCCTCCTTTTGACTCAGGTGACGTGTCTTGTATGGCAGAGATGCAGTTCTAGGTGGGCCTTCCCACGGAGCTTGGGACTCTGGGGAGACTTCCTTTCTTCTCAGAGATTTTCCACGTGGGTTCAGATGACTAGTGAATAAAGGAAAACCGAGAGAAGCCAAGAGAGCCAACTTGCTCTCACACAGATTAAACAGACTGGGAATTACAACATGTCATTTGCAAACACGGGCGTCACTATTCAATGGGCAGGATGGAGACAGAGTGGATCTGTTTCTTGACTTTAATTTGGGGTGATGGCCTCAAAAAACACACAAGTAAAAACACCAGATGACTAAAGCACCATATTTGGAGCAGGTTGTCAGTTCATGGCCCAGGAGAAGAGGCAAGGCCATGCTGACCTCAGGTCTCTCTAGGAACATTCCCAGAGTTGAGCTAGCCAACCTAGTGCCTTCTGTGGCCTGAGCAAAAGATGGCTCAGCTTCATTAACATTCCACACCCCACCCCACCTCCTCAGGGTGTTTCCTGACAAGATACCCGTGCAAAACCTCAAAGGCGCTCAGCTTCTGAGGGACTCCTTTGTGTCTCTGTGTCCTTCTCTGTGTTCTTAGGACAATACTGTTTGCCCACGTGGGCTCCTAAGTATAACAATACAGAGTGCCCATTACTGTTTTTCATACAATGTGAAGACTGGAAAATAAGTGGGAAATCAGAGAGCTACCTAGTGTTTGTACCTGGCAGATGGAAAAGGCCAGGTAGGGCTGGAGGCCCTAAGGCTCCCCCTCTGGCCTTTGGCATCATGGCTTATATTCAAGAGGCAACACTAGCCCACGGTGAGGGAATGGGCTCACCTAGTCAAGTGTTCACATTCAGGCTCCATGGGTTTCAGCCTGGGGCCCAGAGCTCAACCAGTCCTACCCTTTGGCTCTTTCTCTTGGCTCAGCTCAGAAAGTCAGCTTGCCAAGGACTGAGGGTGTGACTCAATTAATACGGCGGCCTAACCTTTACAGGTAAACCACTATAAGGTCAGGTCAGCGTAGCTACCACAGACCCATGGGGTTTCCTTGAGATTAGCACCTGAACTCCAAAAATACTGAGTATGGAGTATGTGGGGGTGTGGGGGTGTGGGGTGAGGGGGTGTGGGGTGTGAGGGCAGTGAAGGTGTGGGGTGAGGGGGTGTGGGGGTGTGGGGGTGTGGGAAGGGTGTGGGGGCAGAGGGGTGTGGGGGCAGTGGGGGTAGGGGGTGAGGGGGTATGGGGTAAAGTGGTGTGGGGTGAGGGGGTGTGGGGTGTGGGGTGTGGGGGCAGAGGTGTGTGAGGGCAGTGAGGGTGTGGGGTGAGGGGTGCGGGGTGTGAGGGCAGTGAAGGTGTGGGGTGTGGGGGTGAGGGGGTGTGGGGTGAGGGGTGCGGGGTGTGAGGGCAGTGAAGGTGTGGGGTGCGGGGTGTTAGGGCAGTGAGGGTGTGGGGTGTGGGGGCAGAGGGGTGTTAGGGCAGTGAAGGTGTGGGGTGTGGGGGTGTGGGGTGTGGGGGCAGAGGTGTGTGAGGGCAGTGAGGGGGTGTGGGGTGAGGGGTGCGGGGTGTTAGGGCAGTGAAGGTGTGGGGTGTGGGGGTGTGGGGTGTGGGGGTGTGGGGTGTGGGGGTGTGGGGGTGTGGGGTGAGGGGTGTGAGGGCAGTGAGGGTGTGGGGTGAGGGGTGCGGGGTGTGAGGGCAGTGAAGGTGTGGGGTGAGGGGGTGTGGGGTGTGGGGGTGTAGGGGTGTGGGGGCAGAGGGGTGTGAGGGCACAGCAATAATGGCAGCTATTGCTACAGAGTCCACACGGTAACTACATGGCTGGAACAGTAGAAATGGCCCAAGCCGAGAGAGAAAGAACTCTGCAGAGCAGGTAGAGCTAACAGGACCTGGGACAGAGGTAGGGACCAATGTCATCAGGAACAGGTCCTTAGCACCTCAGTATCTCATAGTCATTAAGTCAGGTTTGATCCCCAGCACTGAATAAAGATCAGGCATAGTGGCAATGTCTGTCACTCAGAAGAAGGGCCATCCTCACACAGTAAGTTCAAAGCCAGTCTGAGATATGAGTCCTTGACTTAAAAAAAAAAAAATTAAATTCAGCTTCTCAATCAGCCAGTGAGTTGCGTTCTGTTCTGAGGTGGGTTTAAGATCAACGATTCCAAGAGCAAAGGGCCCATTGCCCAATCAGCAGTCTGATTACGTCCTCTCAATCTGTGAAAAAGGATCCTGCCACTAGGTTACAAGTATCCGTGGGCAGCTTCTAAGTGAGAGATCGGCTCGAGCGACCGACAAGTGACGATCTGCACCTAGAGACTGGACAGATAGTGTGGGGCCCCTGGGATGAGTGATGGTCCGATGCCTTCGACGAAGCTGCTCCATTGATGGTAGTCCTCCTGCAGGTCTGAATGGGCACAGACAGGAAGGAGGGTTAGGCAGACCACTGCAGAGTCGGATACAGTACCTTCCAAGGAGTCCCTGGGGCATCCTACAGACGGGGAGCATCTGGGATACCAAAAGAACTGCGTGTGGCAGCCCCCCAGGCAGCTGAGGCGGGAGCTCTAGGAGTCTGGGCAGCTGGGCCCACCCAGGCAGTTCCTGAGACACAAGTAGAAGTGCTGTAGCTTCTGCTAAGCAAAGTGGGAGAGAGAGGCCTTCAGCAAGAGACAGATCAAGGGAAGAGGTGCTGGAGGTGGGAGGGAAGAGGAGGCCTGGGGAGGAAGGGGAGGCCTGGGGAGGAAGGGGAGGCCTGGGGAGGAAGGGGAGGCCTGGGGAGGAAGGGGAGGCGTGGGGAGGAAGGGGAGGCCTGGGGAGGAAGGGGAGGCCTGGGGAGGAAGGGGAGGCGTGGGGAGGAAGGGGAGGCGTGGGGAGGAAGGGGAGGCCTGGGGAGGAAGGGGAGGCCTGGGGAGGAAGGGGAGGCCTGGGGAGGAAGGGGGGTTATTAGTATTCAAGCATCTGTACTGGCCTGTCCTTAGGGTTCTAACAGGATAGGCCCTCAGCTGCAGCCACTAAGAGCACCACCTGTGGGCCCTACCCATCGCCCATCCTCCTCCCTCCCTCCCAGTCTCTCTCTTCTCTCTCCCTCTTCCTATCTGTCTGCTCCAGCCCTCCCCCTTCCTGTCTCTGCTACTCCTGTCCCCAGAGGCTGCTCTCTTCCCTTCACTTTCTCCTTTTTACCATTTGTCCTTTCCCTAATTTAAAAAAAAGAAAAAAGAAAAACAAACCTCTGCTTGAACCCTGTCTTTCTCTCGTGTGCTGCTTTTCTTAAATTACAACAGGAGTGAGACCTTCCATGAGGGCAGGTGGGGACAGAGGGGAGGGAAAGGAGGTGTGGGTAGTTAGCGGGAGGGGGGCGGGATTTCACTGGGAAGGCAGCCTCCTTCGAGGCTTAGGCAGGAGCTGAGAGGTGATGCTGAGCCACCTCTGGCCCATTTAGTTCCCCAGTGACTAGGTACCTAAAAGCTTCCTCTCTCTGTAAAGCCAGTTGGTGAAGATACAGTGTCTTCACTTAGATTCTGCTTTCTCTCTTCTCACCTGGGTTACCACAGAGCCTCCCCGCTACCCCTGGGTAACCACAGAGCCTCCACGCTACCCAAACTCTAGGTTCTCAACTTTCCACCTCACCCATCCTCTACAAGTAGCTAGACTGCAAGCCTGTCCAACCATGCCATTCTCCTGCCTAGAACATACTACAGGCTCCTCCTCACGGATCCCTCCCAACCCCCTCCAGCAAACCCATGGGCCACTGCTCCTGACTTCTGCCCACTTCTCCTTTTCCCTCCTCAACAGTTTCCTGTCCTGAGCTCAGGATGTGCAGGAACTATCCAGGGAAGATCTCTGTCCCTTCCCTCCCTGTCCCTTCCCTCTCTGTGTCCTCTCTTCATCAGTCAAGACCAAAGCCAGAATCGCCTTGTTTAGGCAGCCCCTTGCCTGGCTGTTCTATCCCCTCCAGTCAGGTCTATCTGCTGGGTCCCAGGTAGCTGCTATGTGGCTGTGGTCAAAGACACTGTTGAGTATCGGGACACCGCAGCTCACTAATGAAGGGCCATGGGCTGTGGGGCTACAGTCTGGTGGGCTTCACGTTGGCACTGCCACCAGAACCAGATAACCTTGAACAAAATATAGATTACTGACATTTTCTAAGCTTTAACATATTCATCTGGAAAAAAATTGAAGCTAATAAATTAAAACCAAAACTACTGGAAAGGGCCATCTCCAGAATCAGACACGGACTCTAGAGTACTGAGCATGACAATTACTGGAGACAGCGTGCCCTAGACATAAGCAAACTAAATCTCCCGCAAGCTACCCGCCACCTCCTCCTCTGCAGCTCTCTCCCTTTAGCTGTCTGCTACTAAAGGGAGCTGGTCACAACATTGTCACCTTTAACTTGTCCCTTGTCACCTTTAACTTTTTCTTTTCTTTTGGGACAGAGTCCTAGCTGGCCTAGAATACTCTATGTAGACCAGGCTGGCCTCAAATTCACTGAGACCCGCCTGCCTCTGCTTCCCGATTGCTGGGACTAAAAGTGTGCACCATCACTCCAAGCAAACCCTGTCATCTTTAACCCTGGGCTCCTATATGGACATGTGCCTTGGGGAAACAGGAGGTGCAGCTGAGGACCAGAAAGCAGGAAACACTCAAGTCTTGGAAGTGGGGCCACCCCTTTTTGTCAGGAGAAAGGACATGTCTCTGTGAGTTCCCTGCAAGTCTCTAAACTCAGGTTGGAACAGTTCTTGGCTCATAATTTGCAAGGTGAAATGAGCAACTATAAACAGAAATGTAAACTTGACTCATAGTAGCAATGTGTTCTTAACAGGACAGGCATATTATAAACATAAGCACAACCCGAACCAGATGGGTTTCACATTGTGGGAAACATGAAGATACCCAGGCTATGCAGGGGAAGACCCCGGTCCTGAGCACAGATGGGAGGGTCCTGCTGGGCCAGGTGCTATCCAGACCATGTCTAGTGTAGTGTGTTCCAGTCAGGGCACCTCTCTTAAAAAGAGGCCCTGACAAACCACACCCAAAGGAAGGTGATAATAGACCACGTGAATGGAGGACATCAGAGGTGACCATAAATATCTAAAGAGCTGCTATGTGCTACCTCAGGCTTCTCTGGTCAGCTCTTGGGACAACTAGACGTGTGTGTGTGTGTGTGTGTGTGTGTGTGTGTGTGCGCGCGCGTGCGCGCGCGCGCGTGCATGTGCGTGTGCATGGGTGCGTGCATGTGTATGTGTGTGTGTTGGGGGTAAGGTATCAGATCTTGCTGTATGGTTGCTCCAGGAAAACCTGGCTGCCTCCTGATAAAGTGACTCGTGAGGGGTCAGCTTCCTGAGGCTCGGGGTGCTTCTCTTCCATGTCCACTGTGCTTCAGAGTAGGAAAAAAGAAAAGAGCATAGAAAGAACGAAAGAGGCCAAGGAAGACAGGGAAACCAGAAGACACACACTGAGCCTGTGGAGCAGAGAAAAACAAAACACAACAAAAACACATCCATCCTGCACTGACCCCTTGACTGTGTCACCCACTGGGTCCAGTATGCCTCATAAACAAACTTCCGGGGTTTCTTTCTTTTCTTTTCTTTGTTTTTGTTTGTTTGTTTGTTTTGTTTTTCAAGACAGGGTTTTTCTGTGTAACATCTCTGGCTGTCCTAGAACTAGCGATGTGAACCAGGCTGACCTGGAACTCACAGAGCTCCATCCACCCGAGTGCTGGGATTAAAGGTGTGAGCCACCAACACCCAGCTCACTTGTTTTCCCTTGAGGTAAACTAAAATTATAGTCTTTGTGGCCAAAAAAGTTTAATTAGACCATTAACTTTCTTTTTGCAATATTTGTGTGTGTGTGTACACACGTGCGTGCGCACATACATGCGTGCGCTCGCGTGCATGTGTACACATGCCACAGCCAGTGTGTGCCAGTCAGAAGACAATTCTGTGGAGTCAGGTCTCTCCTACCACGTTTCTGTGGGTTCCAGGGATTGAACTCAGGTCTTCAGGCTTGTACCACAAGAACCATTTACCCACAGAGCCATCTCATCAACACCTAGACCAACACCAACACTCAAACATCCAAATTCCCAGTGGAAAAGACAGCTTGCTTGTCCATCAGAGAAGACAACTTCTCTGGGCAGAGATAACACCAGGGACCTCAAAATGCTTTGCCAATTTAGCTGATCTGTGACTTATGATATTGGTTATAATATTTCCATGTTTGGTTTCTTAAAACAAAGTCATCCATAAATTTTACCCAATTATTATCATAAAGAGCCCACAATGCACAAAATGATGGTGTTCTGTCCTGGGTCCTCGTCATGTCAAGACAGAACACAGTGCTACAGGAGACCCAAGGGACCCCGTGTGTGCTCCCCAAGCCCCAGCTGTCTCCTTACCAAGGTGCTTCTGCAGGAAGGCCAGAATGGCCCGCACCATAACCTCCTGACCTTCATAAGGGTCCAAGGTCCCACGAGTGTGACTGGAAAAGAATTTAGCAATCAGGTTGCCCGTCACGAAGGCAAAGTCAGTTTGACTCCGATGAACAGCTCCCCTAGAGAGAAAGAGAAACCGCCGGTAGGAGGGTGGAGGTCAGGCACATGCGTGTGCCTGCCGTGTACAAAGTGCTGCCCATGTAACTCTCTCAGCAACCTTGTCGGGGAAGTACTTTCCCCTGTGACAGAGTCTGAGGAGGAAAGAGCGAGGATTTGACGGAGCTGTGGCTGGCTGCACCTGCCTCAATGTCTAGATCACCATGCCTGACGCTACAGGAACGAAGGTGAACCTGTTAGGGGGAGCTGGGAGAGGGAGGTAAGGTCCCAGTACCTGCCGTGCCTATTACCACACAACTTTTATCCACGGACCTCAAGGCCATGAAACATTTAACCTCACTGCCAGAACTGTGCCATGGAGTCAAGAGGGAGAGGAAACACCTGCTTTTGGTTAAGTAATCACAGCAGGGAGGGCACGAAAAAATGGGTTCTGGATTAAGCCCTCCGGTTATAAATGAATCAGATCATTCATTCATTCACTCATTCATTTGTGGTAGTGGAGAGTGACCCAGGGCCTTGCACATCACACGCTACACTGCACTCACTACTCCCGAGCCCTGTAAACACGTTTAATTCATAACTGAAATCCTCCATGGACTCCTATTGACCTAAATTACTCATGCTTCAAATGAATGTGATGTGAAAAAAATCTAAATGCTGACTGGCATACCTAATATGTAGAAAAGTGTATTTTAAAAAATTAGATTTATTCATTTATTCATGTGCATATGAGTCTGTGTGTCTGTCTGCATGCATATGTCTATGTGTGTGTATCTATTAATCTCTCTGTGTGTGGAGTCTCTGTGTGTATAAGTATGTGTGTATGCATATGCATCTGTGTGTGTGTGTGTGTTTATGTGTGTATGCATATGCATCTGTGTGTGTGTGCATGGTTGGAATTCAGAGGACAACTTGTGAGAATAAGTTCTCTGCTCTAGCTATGCCGGTCCCAGCAACAGAACTCCACATTCAGGCTTCATGGCAGGTTGCCTTTTCCTGTTGGTCATTTTACCAACCCAAAACTGTTTTTTTTTTTTTTTGTATGTATGTTTGTTTGTTTGTTTGTTTATGTATTATTTAAGGCACATGAAAAAAAGTATATAGAATGAAAAATACACTGGATTCTTCAGTATCCAGCCCTAGATTTTAAAAAATAATATACTGGGGTTGGAGAGATAGCTCAGTGCTTTAAAACACTTGTTCTTGCAGGGGACCCAGGTTTGATTCTCAGCACCCACATAGCTGGTCACAACAGTCTGTAACTCCAGGTCTAAGAATACAACACCCGGCAGCCAACACTGCCTTTTCCTATAAGTCACCAAAATGGCTGAAGTGGAGCAGAAGATGTGGACCTTCTGCCATGGACCTGGACCACTCGCTGGGTGTGTCCTATGAATAGCAGCTGATGTGGCTGTACAGCGCCCCACAGAGGTGAGACCTGAATCACTGCCTGTAGCGGAAGCAGTGCTCGCTACTCAAGCACCCCAGAAAGGCCAAGAAGGAGACGATGCCTATGGAGAAGCCCAAGGTGGTGAAGACCCACCTGAGGGATGGGTTCATCCTGCCTGAGATGGTAGGCAGCATGGGCCTGGGGAAACATTCTTGCAGTCCTGTCTGTCAACACTATGAAATCGAAGCCAAAGAGGAGCGACTGGGCCAGGAGAGGACACCACTGAAGCCACCACTCACACCCACTGAAGCCACCGCTCACAGTCAAACAGCTTCCCTAGATGATTCCCAAGCTACATAACACATGGCCAGCTGTACTTCCTGACATAGGCGCTAATGCATGGGTGCTGTTTGGCTTGACTGGGGCAGGCAGGAGCAGGTCAGGGAGGTCTCAGGCCTGCCTCAAGGCCACATGCCTCCCAGGTGACTTAAGCTGTGAAAGCCTGCTGCTCTGGAGAAAAGAGTCTCCACAGAAGGTGCAGTGACCACTGTGCAGTGAGCAGGTGAAGAGAACATGACCTATTTGGCCAGCATATAAATGGGCTTGGGTTGGGTCCCGTGTTGATGCCCAGCTTGGCCTCGAACTTTCCATCCCCCCCTGCCTAAGCTGCCTATGTGATGGAATTACAAGCATGCATCAACAGGCTCAGCCCCCATGAATGACTTTTAGAAGAAGGTCTATGTTAGGATAACCTCTGTGAGCTGGATGTCCATGGAAATTCTACAGAGCCACCCCCTCCCAGAGTTGTCAAAGCCTACGATAGCCAAGTCTTCAAAAAATAGTAAAATTCCCATAGGAGACTAGAGATCACTTGAATCCACCCAGACCCAACACACCCATTTCCCAGAAATTACTAAGTAAATCCTATCATGCAGCTACACAAACTGTTGAGGAAATCTCTGCCGGTGGGGCTAAGCAGAGAAGAGAGACATATGAAACCCTATAGGAATTATGATATAGGGATTGTTCTGTGAATATGCAAGAAGTCCCAGGTAACCTAGAAGAAATGAAGGGGCCATGCCTTTGGGGCATACTTACAGGACAGTCACAATCCTGGACTGTTGGTGCTGGGCACATATCTTCTTCATCAAGTTGATGGTCTCCACAGTCTGGAATTTCTCAGCATTGATAAAGAACACAGGGCCCCGGGCCTTGGGGTAAAAGTCATGTTCCAGAGGGAACATCCAAGCATCCAGGGCCACAGCACACCTGGGAATAAGGCAGACATACATTTGGAGCTGTCACTAAGATTAAACACAGGCAAGAATACATAGAGTGGAGGGGATGGAATGGGACCTTTCTCTCCAATGAGCTGATGACTCAGAAAGCCAGGAATTGGGTGCGAAGACCCACACCATCCTATTACAATCCTACATAGGATTCCCTTTTACCTGTCCCCAAAGAGCACTCTAGAATTTGTCCTCCCTCAGAGCAAGGGTCAGATTTCCTTCTCTGGATCTACTCTCAGGTGACACGCTCTAGTTCTGCAGAGTGTCAGCTCATCATTTAATCTCTCAATTCATTCAACATTCACTGAGTGGCTACTGTGGCCTTAGCCCTCTGGATGCGGAGATCAATGAGAAAAGCTCCAAGAGTCCCCAGGACAGCAGGGGAGAGTGAGAGACTATGAAAGTACTGGAACCACAGCTCAGAGCTCTGATGTTCAGGATGCTACATGAGCCCAGAGCCTGCTTGGCAGAGAACCCTGATGGGAGATTTCATTCTGTAAATATGTTTCTCGCATTGGTTAATGAATAAAGCACTGTTGGCCAATAGGAAAGCAAGATAGGCGGGACTAGGAGACAAGGAGGATTCTAGAAGTAGGAGGAAGGAGATCCAAGAGGGAGGATAGAGAAAAGAACGCCAGCCCCTCTCTCCAGTAAGACCACGTAGAAGTACTTAGATGAATAAAAATGGGTTAATAATTAAGACAGAGCTACCCAATAAGAAACTAGTAACTGGCTAACAGCTTTATATCTAATAAAGCGTCTCTGTACATTATTTGGGGCTGACGCGGCAGTGGGACCAGGTCGGCAGAAAAAACATACTCGTAACATAATGGCGCCCAACGTGGAGTTGGGAAAGGTATGGTTTAGATGGGATATAGGTAGGTTAGTCTATCTTCTTGTGAATTATTTTACTATAGTAAGATATTAGTATTATACAGCCTATGCTGTTATATATTCTTATTTGTGGTAACCTATGTAAAATTAAGTTTATATTCCCTTCCCTTGTATATTATATTTTGTCATATTGTGTAAAATCTTTCCATTTATGATATTTATGTACATTATCCTTACCATATTCTATGTATGTATACTTTTACTTATGTTCAAGACATTTTGTATATTGATACAATTTAGGATATTTTTATCATGTTGCACTTTATGGTTCTACCTCAGGTCTAGACATTTCTACTCTACCTCTGTTTTTAAAGATTTACATGTATATATACGTACATAGTTATATTGCTTAGGTATTTGTCCCTGCTTTACTCAGGGAAGTTTCCATCAGTTTTTTAGCTAAATTCCTGAGTATTACAGATTATATCTTCACCCATGTTTCCTACACCTATGAGATTAGTCAGACATAGATGCCTAATCTTCAAACACTTCATAGACCTGCAGAACATGGCATTTAAATGTTTTAATATTAGTACTCCATTGACATGAGACACTGTTGCTCCTGACAGCACCGTGAACTTTCCCAAAAATGTGTTGAACACTGTTGTTGCTCCTTCTGGAGTCCATCCTCGCTTCGGCTAATGGCCTCTTGGGCAAAGAATTGCACCCATCTTGACCACTGATTTGGATGTGTGGTTCTATATGCTTACAGGAGACAAACATAAAAGACTACTAAACCTTGCCAAGTCAGGGTAAGACAGCCTTTCTATCTCCCTGCTGTTGTTGTGGTCTGTCAAGTTCTCTTGGCCTTAGCCAGAACTGGGTGTACCAACATTACTGTGAGACCTTGGGTGACTGTCCAGGTAGCCTGCTGTTTCTGTCCTTGCTGCACCTTTTGGAAGTTACCCATCCGCACTTCCTGCCTACCCTAGCATTGTTATTTTCCTTCTCAGGTCTTGATGAGGCTGAAGATTAGACTGTCACAATTATTATTCTCTCTTCCTAGTTAGATATATTTGGTACTAGACTTAAGTTTTCCAGCTTAGGACAACTCTATTGTAAACTCCATTATGCCTTTACCCTAGGATAGATATGTAGGTCTTAAGTTGTTTGTTTTTGATTTTCCTTTTCTTAGAGCACACTTGTTATTCGCTGTTTTGTATATAGTTTTTTATCAAGCCTAAATCTTTTCTTTAGACTAAAAGGGAAATTGTAGTGAGATATTCACTTTGTCTGCTTCTGTGGCACTGGCCACGCCCACTGGGGGGTGGAGCCAGGGGCAGAAGTGATCTATGGAACTAGGTCTGAGGAGAAGCCAAGGAACACTCTCTTGTTGGCGGGACGCGGAGAAGAGAGCATCTGGTGGAACCTACTGGTGTTCATCTGTCTAGGTTGTAAGTTATTTCTCCCTGAATAAACATCTGTTCGGCCTATTTGTTTATCCTGATCCTTATTAAACCGTGATATCACCCTACAAACTTTCTTGGTACTGTGGTACTGCCACTCCGTTCTGTCCATGTCAGCAGGGGACGGTCACCTTCCACTGTAATGACAAGTGCAACTGCAAGGGCTTCACTTCCCCTTTCCTTGCCCTTATACATCACCAAGGCCTGACAACTCCATTGCATCTGACTCCACCCTCATGCAAATTCATCCTCTCAATTTTGCTCTGACTCAGTCACATCCCCTTAGCCCTTCAAGCTGGTCTGCTCCACGACATAGTAGCCAGGAGACTGTTTAAAATCTCTGCTTAAACTCCTTTAATGGTGTTCTCATTCTATTTTATTTTTTAAGATAGGGTCTTGCTTAAGTTTGCCTTGAACCTCAATCCTCCTGCCTCAACCTCTAGAGTGCAGAGATAGGGGCGTGTACATCACATCCTTAGCCTGTTTATTTTCTTCATCGCACTTAAGTGTGAAGAATTTGCTAGTCGATTTCCTCTCCCAACAACACAATCTCTCAAAGTCAGACCTTGTTTAGCTGATCACTGAATCCCTAGCCCATCAAACAGTGCCCAGAACATGACCCTTGTGTAACACATCCCTACTGAATGAATGAATGAATGAATGGTGTGTGAAGTTCAATGACGGCTGCATCTCCAGTACTCACCGAAACTGGACCTCCTGGGCCAAAGCCAGGACAGCTGTTGCGCCTCCAAACGAGTGTCCCATCACAGCCACCCGGCTCATGTCGATGCTGTCCTGAGGAAAGCAGGGAACTTAGCCGAGGAGACACAGAGAAGCAACTGTAGGAGAGTGAAGTGATGCCAACCAAAACTGCACCATCGGAGCCTCTGGCTGGAGTAGGGTGGCACACTGCTGTGATCTAGCGTAATTCTGAGACGCAATGATGGCAGGTTCAGGCCCAGCCTGGGCTATACAGTGAGACATTGTCAAAAAACAAACAAACAAAACCAAAACCAAAAAAAAACAAAAGTGTATCTGGGGTAGAGAGAATGTGAGGCACAAAAAAGGCCACTGGTTTGATGCCCAGCATGCCAAAGAGAGTAAAGAGAGGGCTCTGCCGCCTGCCGGGAGAGCTGACTGCTCTTCAGTGTGTACGACCTTCAGGAGCCTGTGCTTTTCATCTGCACTTTCTGTTTTTGTTTTGTGAGACGGGGTCTCACTATGTATTCCTCACTGGCCTGGAACTCACTGTGTAGACCAGGCTGGCCTTGAACTCAGAGATCCCTTTCCCTCTGCCTCCAAGTGCTGGGATTAAAAGCAGGCACCACCACACTGGCTCATCTTGGCTTCTGTAATCCCCCTGCTAACACTTCTCTCTGGTGAGAGTAGGCATTCAAATGTCTGTGGGTACCCCCAACAGATGGAAGTTGCCCGGCTTCCACCAGCTCATCTAAAAGCAAGCCGAGAAATCCCCTTTAGACTCTACAGCAGTGGTTCTCGTCCTGTGGGTCACGACTACTTTGACAAAACTCAGTTTCCAAAAATATTTACATTATAATCCATAACAGTAGCAAAACCACAGTTACAAAGTTGTAATGAAATAATTTTATAGTTGGGGGTCACCACAACACAAGGAGCTGTACTAAAGGACCACAGCGTTAGGAAGGTTGGGAAAAGTTCCAGCCTCACAAGCTGGTCCTCGAGGTTGCACAGAGCACACAGAGGGAAGTTCAGGGAACTCCCGCTGCCCTTCCTCCCTTCCCAATGCCCCCCCCCCCCACGTTGTGCTCTAGAGTAAGGGATGCTTGTGCAGAAAGCAAGTCAGGTTCTACTTCCTCTGTGTGCCTGTCCTGATTTTTATCCACAGCCCAGGGAGGATTTATGCGCTCTGACTGCTCTGTAAGTATCTATTTCTGGTTGTTCCCAGAAGGCTTTAGGACATGGTTCTATAAAAAGCCACCACCGATGTCTGCTAAGGGGCTGGGGAAATCTCCCCAGGCTTTGTGTGCCACACTCTTGTTCAGTGTGTGTCTCTGTGTAGCAGTATTAGTGCGGAGGGGGCTGCCTCGTCCTTTCCTGTGGCTGCACTTGACCTCACTCGGAAACAGACAGCTGGTTGCTCACTAACTCTGTCCCCACACACAGCTAGATCATTTCTTTGCAGTTCCATTTGACTGAGTCCTAGCCAACAGCATGAGCAAAAGTCTGACTTCCAAAGTGGAAGTGTGGTTAAGGGATGCTCTTGCAGAGGACCTGGATTTGATTCCAGCACCCAAGTCAGGCCTCTCACAACTGCCTGTAACTCCAGCTCCAGGGGAATCCACACCTCTGGCCTCTGCATATGCCTGTACTTACATGAACACACCCACATGCGACATACACACTAACACATAACTTAAAATAATAAAAATAAGTACATATATTTAAAAGTCTCAGCCCAGTGGTAGAATGGCTTTCTAGCTTGTGCCAAGCTCTAAATTCAATCCCAGTTCTGAAAAGAGCTTGGATCCCTGGACCACCTCTTGCACAGAGTACCCTGTGGATGGTACACAAGAGAGAGACATTTCTATTGGATGAAGCCACTGAGTGGGCTCTAGGTGCCCTAGCAATTAGCATCCCTGGGGCTCTTAGAGGAATTTTTTGGCTCTTCCCAATTGTTTCCTCTTAGGGATAATGCAGCTCATACAGGAAAAATCCATAGACTGGAAACTTCTAGATCAAAAAAAGAGAGAAAAAAAAAAGACATAAATTTGTGCCGCTGATAGCTCCTGACACACTGCCTTCCTCCAGACAGTGGAAGAGTCCATCTTCTTCACCACACTTGTTAACAGGGGGATCATGGATGTTCAGATTTACTCAGTCTCATAGGTGAGGTTTACTTAGCTGGTTAGTTTCGTGTTTCCTCTGAGATCCACCTGGACAGTGGCTGCTGCTCCTCATTACCTGGCTCGGATCTCAGGCAGGTGGGTCTGGACTTTGGCACTGGGGGACTACTTCTCCACTCAGCAAATAGTCACTAAACCCCTCTACAGTCCAGGTTCGGTCTCACACACAGGCATATGTGTCATTCTTAAAAATGGAGTTTTTAAAAAGAGGTATTGAGACATAAAACTTCGGCTTTGGGAAGTAAACTTCCAAATTAAAACGGACTCCATTTTTTTAATTTTAATTTTACTTTATGTGCATGAGTATTTTGCCCACATGCATGTCCATGTAATACATGTGCCTGGTTCCCGTGGGAGCCAGAAGGTTGTGTGCCTCTACATGGGTGGGAATCAAACCTGAGTCCTCCTGGAGGACAGCCAGTGCTCTCAACCGTAAGCCGTCTCTCCAGCCCCTCCACCACGTCTGTAACTCGATGCTGTCTGTAGGTGCTCAGACTCTTCCATGCTTGTCTCCATTTGATGTACAGAGATAATGATGCTGACTTCATGCATTTATGTGGAGAGCCCTTACCTCAGTAGAATTCTTATTCACATAGTGGAATATTACATGAGCATTCAAAATAGTCCGTAAGCAGTGTGTGGTTGTGCAAACTTGAAATCCCAGTAGTCAAGAGGTAGAAGTAAGATGACTAAGAGTTCGAGGCCAGTCTCAGCTACACAATAAGTTTGGGGCTACCCTAAAGAGCATGAGGCCCTGTCTCAAACAAAACAAAAAACAAAAAACAAAACACACAAAAGAAGAAGAAGAAAAAACACAGAAGACACTAACTAGTTAAGTGTGGTGGCTCACATCTGTAACTTTAGCACTTGAGAGATTGAGGCAGGAAGGCTGCTGTGAGTTCAAGGATAGTGTGGGCTACATGATGAGCTCTGAGCTAGCTTGGGCTATGAATCAAGACCATGTCTCAAACAAACAAACAAACAAACAAACAAAAAACCCCTACATAACATGAAAAAATACACTGTTTTATTAAGTGTATTGTGTGTGTGTGTGGGGGGGGTCTACTACATTTTGTTTTGACATTACAGGAAGAAGAAAGATCAGGAGAGAAAAGGCTGGGCATTGGAAGGTAGAAACTGTACCTCCCCGGCCACCAAGTCCATAGCCGGAACCGTGTCCTGCCCTCTAGGAGGGATCTTGGGACTCCCTTGTATTCTTGATTACTTGCCCACAGTAGACAGGTCACTGTCTACTCAGCACCCTGCCCTTGGGAAGAAACTATCCCCTCTAGCCATGTGGCAGAGTGGAACCTTCAGTCCTGGTGTCCCAGCTCCTCTGACCTGGAAGGCAGGGCCAAGCTGAAGAGCCTCTCCCCCAGCACAGTGACCAGGCCATGCAGACTGTATCCTCTCCACAAAGGCACAGCCTACAAGCTAAGAGAGCCTTTTCTTTTGGATCCCAGGGCTGTTCAGGCACAAGCCTGGGTTCCTAGCAACTACCTTTCTTGCTTGGAATCTGGTGAGAAGAAGGCCACCCACGCATAGCCTGTAGAAGAGACAGAAGAGTGCAGAGCTGCCAGGTCCGAGACCCTGGGTCTCACTATGCCAGTCTGAGGTCTCTTGGTGCTTTTGGTAGCATGTGTGGCTCTGGGTCATCCCAACTGTTGCCATACCTTCAAGGCCATCAGGTCCAATCCACCAGGAAAGACATTGAGAACCGTCTTCCCATCAGAGGCGTCCTGCAGGATCCGCAGTACCCGCACGCACTCTCTCACCCGCTGGTGCACCTGCAACACATCCCGTCTGCTGGAGCACCCCACAAACACACAGTGAGCACCTGGGCCCCCATGGAACTCGACAGGAGAGGAGGTCGGTCCACCGCATCTCAGCAAACACTGCAGACGCCCCTCGCAGCTCACACAGGTACATCTGACAGCATTGAGGGCCACCTGCCTACCTGCAGGGCCATCAGGATGGCCCTACGAGCTGATGCACACGAGAACATTTTGCCAACAGAAGGAACTGTTAGTGTCCTTATTCTCAAGCCCATTTACAGCACACCTGCTCCCTGTCTGCCACCCCTGCTCCCATTAACCTTGCCTTTTAAGGACTGGCCCTGCCCTGCCCCACCCCACCCCTAACAACCAGACAAATGATTTTTTGGTGAGAATTTTTCTTTTGCCTCTGCTCCGTAGGCTAGGAACCCTTTACCAGGAATGTTCAAACTTGAGCTTGGCTCTGGGATGGAGGACTGGGGAACAACACTCAGAGCCTTGTCCCCTGCTGATGGATGACTATCAGCAGTTAGAGCTGGCAGGAGCTCAGAAAGAAAGCCAGCCTGGGGACAGCAGAGACAGGGATGCAGACAGGGATGCTCCGGTCCCCTCTGGGAGCAAGTCCCAGTGAGTGAAGTCTCAGTCTCCCTACTTCCTATCCACATGAGCCAATCGGCTCCTCTGTCACCTAGCTAGGCTTAAGCTGGACTCTGTCACCCTCAAGAGCCCTGTGATTTATACCATATTTATTCCCATGGATGTGGTGAGCTCAGACCCACTATGCTGAGGCTCCTGAGAGAGAAAGTTGGTTAAAAGTCTTGCTTGTGGTTAGCTGAAGGTCCATGTTAATTGGCTGGTCCCCATGGGATAAAATTGGAAGACTGAGTCTTTAGAAGGTGGGGCCCAGTTGGAGGTCTTTAAGTTATTGAAGACCTGCCCTGAGGAGGGATTGTGGGATGCCACTACCCAACGGCACCTGCCCTGCCATCTGGGACCCTCACCAGAGGCTGAGGCAATAGGTCCACTGACCTTGGGCTGCTGTCTCCAGAACTAAAAACTAAAAACGCTGCTCTGGTAGGGTAATTACTTCCAGTATTTGCTGGAGAGACGGAAAGCTGACCAGACCAGGATGTGCTGCAGCACACCAACCTGCCTCCATTTTAGGCTTAAAAGCCACCTAGGTTCCTTCCTGCTTTATGATCAAACCTGTTTCTCAAGGATTGGGCTATGCTGCACCTGTAACCTTCACTGCAAATGGTTCAGTACTGCATGTTCCAGGAAATGGCAGTCATGTCTTTGTTTCAAAAAGTTACTTATAACCATTTTGCAACCCTACCTTTGCTTTAAAAGGCTGCATGACAGCTTGTGACTACCTTGTTATGACTACAGCACCTTGTTGTGCCCAACTAGCAACTATGTCTTTGTTCCAGAAGGGACTAACCTGTGCTTATGCTCTACCCCTGTGACCCTATTTTGTCCACCAAATCCCCATTTAGAAACCCCCTATCTATGAGCTACAAACACCTCACATCCAAGGGGCCTGAGGAGAGGCAGCCCGTGTGCAGGAATAAAAAAGTTTGCTTTAATTTGGCCATGATGATTTGGGTTGGTTGTCTTTCTCCTCCTATCTTTGGGATTAACAACACCAGTGGGCATGAACCTACCTCACCATACTGGTCATGGTACTACGACTATGCCAACCGGCACAAGCCTACCTGGGGATTCCTAACGTGGAATTCCTTCTCCCCTTCTTTGATTCGACGGAAAGGGATCCATTCCTCCTCCAAGGATTCTGTGGGCTGGCTCTCTTGTGGGGTCTGCTTGCAGAAGTAGGTGGTCGAAGCTGACTGGTCCCTGAATCACACATGCATTCAGAAAGAAAGCAAGAAAACAACAGTGATCTTATTCCTGGCCTTTGCCCTCGCCTCCCTTCCAAACATGATACACGGGCTCTCTGCTTGGCTGGCAGGTAAGGAGATGAGGGGCATGCACAGGAGAGCAGAGAAAAAGCATGGGCTAGGAACAGGCCTGGGCTGGAGCCCAGAGTCAGCTGTGTCATTCAGCCAGCTACTGAACATCTTTGAACCTTGGTGTTCTACTCTATTAAATGGGTATAATAACTGTTTTTCATGGTTATTAGAAATACACTGGGGCGAGGGATATAGCTCAGTAACAAAACATTTGTCCATCCATGTGTGTGGGTCTGATGCCCCAGCATACAAACTAAACTAAAAAAGAAGTAACACATTGATGGGGACTAGCCTATACCCTAGCTCACCACAGGTTTCTGACTGACTGCAGTTCACCAACCGTATTCTTACCTGTGTTCCAGAACAGCAACCACAAAGCCACGGGAGGCCAGCTCCATGCTGAAGGCTGAGTACAATGCCCTGGAGAGTCACAGGGAGAAGAGATAAAAAACTCCGCCGGCTTCACCCACCCTCCCGCTAGTGGTTGTCTCAAAAGACTGGCTAGGTAGGTGTTACGGGTGGTCCTCCTCCAAATACTTTCCCCAGATAGTTCAGCCCTCATCCCAGGGCTCTGGAGTTCTCCAGAGTGTGTTTGTAAGTTAATCTTCAATCTGAGATGCCTTTCCACCCCACTAAATCAGCCTGCCCCAGCCTTAGCTAGATTCTGACTACACTAATGTATTTATGTGTGTGTACATGTTCCTATGTGTTAATGTGTGTATGCATGTGTATGTCTATATGTGGAGGCCATGTTATCAGGTGTCTTTTTCTACCTTCATCTCATTATTTATTATTGTTATTATTAGTATATTTTGGGGCAGGACTTCTCATTGAACCTAGAATACATCAATTTTGTGCAACTAGCTGGCCAGAGAGTTCCAAGGAGCCTCCTGTCTCACCCACTCCTGAACTGGGATTATAGGTGTGTGAAGCTATGGCTAGACTTTACATGGGTTTTGGGGATCAAACTCAAGTCAGTCTCATGCTTGTACAGCAAGTACTTAACCCACCGAGCAGGGTCTCACTGCATAGCCCAGACTGGCCTGGAACACTCTATGTATATAATCCAGGCTGTCCTTGAACTCACAAAGATCTGCCTGCCTCTGCCTCCTGAGTGCTGGGATTAAATACTTTTTAAAACCACACTAGGTGCTGGGCAGTGGTGGTGCATGCTTTTAATCCTAGCATTTAGGAAGCAGAATCAGGAGGATCTCAGTGAATTTGAGGCCTACAAAGCAGGTTCCAGGAAAGCTAGGACTGCTGCACAGAGAAACCCTGTCTCAAAAAAGCCAAAACCAAACCAAAACACATACACACGCACACGCACACGCACACACACACGCACACACACGCACTTACACACATGCACACACATGCACACACACTCTTACATACATGCACATGCACACACATATGCACACACACTTACACACACACGTGGATGGCAAGATGGTTCAACAGGTAAAGGCACTTGTTTCACCAGCCTGACAACCCGGATTTGATCCCCAGGACATTCATAAAAGGTGGAAAGAGAGAACTTACTTCACAAAGTTAATTTTGCAAATGAGTCTACAAGTACCATTTATGATAATAATACATTTTAAACACACACATAAATCAAAAGTAAGTTTTGAAAATTTTTAGGTAGTCCTATTTTTTAAAAGGATCATTGGGGTGGCTGGAGAGATGGCTGAGCAGTTGAGAGCACTGGCTGCTCTTCTAGAGGACCCAGGTTTGACTCCCAGCACCCACAGTGACTCACAAGCATCTGCAACTCCAGTTTCAGGGGTATCTGTCATCCTCTTCTGGCTTCCTCAGACATTCCATACATGTAAGATACACCCACACAAACGCACGCATGCACACACGCACACAAAACACCTATAAACATTTTTTAAAAAGACAGGTGCTGTAGCTCAGTGGTAGAACACTTGCCTAGCATTTACAAGGCACTGGGTTCAATTCCCAGGACTTAAAAAAAAAAGGGGGTTTTTTTAGCCAGTTGGGGTAGTATATAACTATAGTCCTAGAACTTGTAAGGTAGAGGCAGGAATATCAACATCAGGAGTTCAAAGTCATCCTCAGTTACATCCTAATTTAAAGCTAGCTTGTGCTTCATGAGTTGTTGTCAGAAAGGGAAGGAAAGAAGGAAGGGGGATAGACATGATAGTGTGCATGTGCTATCCTAAACTTGAGACATGAAGGTGGGGTCAGGAGTTCAAGGCTAGCCTTGTCTGTGCATCAAGATCTTGTCTCAAAACAAGTAAGAAGAAACAGAGCTGAAGAGATGGCTCAGTTCCAAGGGGTCTGGTGCCCTCTTCTGGCCTCAGTGGACACTTGCACACAAGTGCATATACACACATGCAGATACACATAACTAAAAACTATTTTAATCTTTTTTTAAAGTAAAATAAAATAGGCAGTGGTGGTATATGCCTTTAAGCCCAGCACTCAGGAGGCAGGTGGATCTCTGTGAGTTCAAAGCTAGCCTCATCTACAAAGTGAGTTGCAGGACAGCCAGGGCTGCACAGAGAAACTATGCCTCGAAGAACAAAAACAACAAACCTAAACAAAATAAAAAGAAGCAAATTAACTTTACTGATATATTTTATTTAAGCTATAATAGCCTATTATACTTTTATGCCTTATTTAACCTACTGTAATCTACATGCCTGACTCAAATTTCCAAATATAATAACATTGTATTCTTATTCCCACACAGTCTTTGTACTCTGGTGTATATTTTACACCCGAAGCATGGCTCAGCATTGACCAATCATCTTCTCAGCCTTAAAGAGCCACATGGAGCCGGCAGCTTATGGAGCAAACAGCTCTAACAAATGAGACTTAGTCAGCTGCATTACACAGAGCTGCCGGGAGGTTCTCTTTTAAAGTAGAGTGCCCTTTATGTTGCCTGGGATGCAGATGTAATGACTGGAACAAAAGCAGCCACTATAGGTCACAAGATAACTTTATAATGGAAGCCATACACAGCAGAGCAAGCAAAGTGTGGCTCTCCGCTACATTCATGGAACTGTCACATCAGCCCTAACTGTCTGGTTCCCCTCACCCGTTTCTTTTGTGTTTTGATAAGGTTTTTTGTTTGTTTGTTTGTTTGTTTGTTTTTTAAGACAAGGTTTCTCTGTAGCTTTGTAGCCTGTCCTGGCACTTGCTCTGTAGACCAAGCTGGCCTCAAACTCACAGAGATCCGCCTGCCTCTGCCTCCTGAGAGCTGGAATGAAAGCTGTGTGCCACCACAGCCCAGCTTTGATGAGGGATTTTACGTAGTCCAGCCTGGTCTAAAACTCATTATTCTGCAGGAGCTGACCTTGAACTTCTGATTCTCCTGCTTCTAGCTTCTAAGTGCTAGGGTTAGCAGCAGGTGCCCTGGTGCCGCCCGTCTGGCTTGTTATAACTGAGAGAGAAATGACGTTTTATTTGTGGGTGGGTGTTTTCTTCTTTTGCAGCCCACGCCATTGTTACACTCACGGAGCTCTCAGCCTCTCAGGGGCTTTGAGTATAGACAGGCGTGCACCTACCTCAAGCCCAGGGAAGGAAGGAATTTGGTCATGTGTTAGTCACTCATGTTTGGTGTGTTGTCTGTTAAATATACCTCTATAACTGAGGGAGAGTCAGGTTCTAAGGTTTCCTTTCCTGTCTCCCAGGTTTCCAGAGAGGCAGTGAACCGGATGAATGACTTTTGATCCCTTACCGGTGTGTACTGTGTAAGGTAGACAAGTTGCTGCTCGCTGTTCAGGGGCCAGGAATACCTATCTGTCTATGTCAGAGGGCTGTGTGGGGACCACAGGGAACAGTGGCATTCTGGAAGCCAGTTAGGTGGCATTTACATGCACATGCTCTTTCCTGGGATGGGAAGCTACCCATCAGTGAACAAGGGAAGAATTTCATGGTGAAATTAACCAAAGAAGCTAAAAAAGGAAACTGTTCTTTGATCCCAACTCCCTCTTCCTCTTGGAGTTTCACTCATGGTTAATGAAGGACATTTCTATTGGCTCTCTCCAGTCTACTGAGAAATGATATCCCAAGGGAGCTTCCTAGTCAAAGGACCATCTCCAGATCAAATGCTCACTGCTCGCTCTCTCCAGCATAGCTACAGGTGGGGAGGGTACAAACGCATGTGCGCGCGCGCACACACACACACACACAGACACACACACACAGACACACACACCAGACACACACACACACACACACCAGACACACACACACACACACACACACGCACACACAGACGCACACACACAGACCCATATACACATACACACACACACAGACACACACAGACACACACACACAGACCCATACACACACACACACACACAAACACAGACACACACACAGACCCATATACACAGACATACAGACACACACACACAGACCCATATACAGACACACACAGACACACACAGACACACACACAGACCCATACACACACACACACACACACACACACACATACACACACGCGCGCACAGTTCTGAAGGCTGGAGCTCTTCTACTCACAGCAGGCTTGCTCTCAGTTTATTACAAAAGCAACCAGCAGAGAAAACCACACACTCGCCTCCCCAGCCTTATCTTCACACCTCCTCTCCACTTCCGGCCAACGGCTAGTTATGTTTATCTGTACACCAGCTCCTCTAGTGTGAGTGGCTTTCTGAATGTGTGTGTGTCCCCATTTCCCACCTTCCTTTCTTGCCAGGGGGCTGCACCTAATAGGTGCTTAAGAGAGGTGGGTGGACAAATGGGAATCCAGCAAAACAGCCCAGTGTACCTTTGTGAATGAGTATTTACTGGGAAACTATGACTTCCAGAAACTGTCTTACCCACTGGGGGCACAGAAGACAGGCATGGGGTGTCTTCACAGAGGCTACTGTCTAGCAGGGAAGACAGACACCGCAACATAATTACACAAGTGAAATGCACTGTGTCGGAAGCCAAGAGAAACCTGCTCTTGCCGAGGCCCCAAATTCCCAGCATCCAATCAGGAGGTTCATGGCCACCTTTAACTCTAGCTGCAGGGACCCTGATGCTCTTCAGTCTTCCTCAGGTACCTATGCTAATGTGCACACACATGCGCACAAACAGGCACAGACACACACACACATGCAAGCATGCACTCACAACATACATACACAAACACACATGGACACACATAATTAAAACTAGAAAATATGCTGCAATTACATTAAGTACTGAGAAATACAAATAGTACTTGAAAACTCAGCCTCATAGAAGACTCAGGATGGGTCCCCTCAGAAAGGGACACACAAACCAGAGGTGCAGTATGCACCTCTCATCTCAATACTTGAAAATTTCATTTAGGGCCTGGAGAGATGGCTCAGTAGTTAAGATCACTTGTCCGTTCTTCCAGAGGACCCATGTTTGATTCCCAGCACCCACAAGATGACTCACAACTATTAGGTCTCAGGGAATCTGATACTCTCTTAAAAAAGAAAGGAAGGGGGGGCAGGGAGGAAGGATGGAAGAAGGAAGGAAGAGCATTCATGCACTCAACAAATATTTATTGAGACCTCAATCTGCTGGGCACCCTTTAAGGTCCTGGACTAGCAAGGTCTGATTTGGGCTTCTTTTGTCTTGAGATAGGATATCACCTGTCAAGGATATCAAGTTAGTCTATTTTTTGGATTGGATTGGATTAGAATGTTGGATTTTTAAAGGTCGGCCCCTGAGGTGAATGGAGAGATGGCTCAATGGTTAAGAGCACTGGCTGCTCTTGTAGAACACTGAGTCCGATTCCCAGCACCTGCATCAGGTACCTCACAGCTGTCTGTAAGTTCAGCTCCACCAGACCTGACACTTTTGGCCTCCATGAGCACCTACACTCACATGCACATACCCTCAGGCTGACACACAATCTACACACATAATTAAAAACAATAAATCTTTTTTAAAAAGACCGGATGTTTGGGTTACTAACACACACACAGTGTTAACTGAATCTTGGCTTGGACTTAAGACAGAATTTCCAGTTTCTGAAATGGTCCTAAACATACTTCTGCCATTTCGTATTATGCATTTGTATATGGCAGCACTCTCAGCATCGATGATTATAAAACCAAAACTCAATCAACTGAGAAACCCCCTGAAGATGCTCTAGGTCTTACAGTGTCCAACATTCAGCCGACAGCCCATCCCTATACAAAACCAAATAAGTTCATCCATCTTATTATGAGGGAAATTTGCTTTTGCTCTTAATGAGTGGTAAAATGAGAGGCATACCAAGTCATTATTTTAAGTTTTTGGTTGTGAGCCTATCCTTTAACGGCTGAGCCATCTCTCCAGCCCCCAAGTCATTATTTTAAAATCAATTTCTTCATGATTTCTTCCCAGCAAAGGCTTGCCCTGTACTCCTATTTTGTACACTTTGATAGAGGTGATCATGTAACAATGTCAGGCAAAACGAGGCACAAGTGGAAAACCTTAAGAAGCCCCGGTCTAGGGAAGGAAGGCCCAGTGCTATGCCAAGGGCCAGATGGGGAATCTGATGGCAGGTAGATGAGATACCTATTATTCGACCCTCTGAGACTACATTAAGACACAGCAGCTCTCACAATGCAAGGACTGTAGCAAGGTCCAGGGACAAAGCTCTTACCTGAAGCCTCCTAGGCCATGGGACAAGATGATCAAGGGGTATCCAGATTCCTTTGTCTTAAAGGGGCCATTCCAGCTAACAGGCAAGCGACAAGATCCTGGCAGAGACACAGGCTATAGCATCTCTGGCTGTCTGGAACTGCAATCCCGAGGGCAGCCCAAGTATAGGTAGGGATGGGCATGTGTGGCCCTCCCTCTCCAGAACCACCAGGAAAAACTACAAAGGGGCAGCATGAAGAAATCTGGGGCAGATGAGTGAGGTGTCAATGCCAGAGGGGACACCAGGCATAGGGACTTGGGGCAGGCGAGGGAGAACTGCCCTAGAGGGTATGCTACAGGAGTATAGATGCCAAGAATGTCTGATACAGCTGCTGGAGATGCTGTGAAGCCTATAGCTGTGGGATGTGGCTCTGTGGTAAGTGGTTGGGCACCGGCCTCGAATCTGTGAGGCCCTGGGTTTGATCCCCAGTACTGAAAGAGGGGGTGGTGATCTATAGAGTGGGTAAGAATGAATACTGGATTTAGGAATCCCAGTCATACCCCATCTACTGTTCTAAACACTGCACTAGAGGTTCTACCCATCCTGGCACCACAGCTCTAGAAAAGCTGGCAGGCCAGCAGGGGAAGTATCTGCCTAGGTCCCAGTAAATTACAAAGTCTAGATTTAAATCGACAACCCAAATTCTCACACATTCAATTCTCTCCCATCTCTCCATACCAAGGACTGGACCTTACAAGCTAAAAATTTCTGCATCTGCCTGGGTTTCTCCTGGGGACATAAACAGGCCACTAGGAAGGTATCTGGGCCAGGCCAGCCTTACCAATACCCAGGTTGAACAGCGACCCGACCCAGCGCTTGTTATACTGCAAGTAGTCAGCCAGGCCCAAGCAATACTCATAGCGGGGGATCCACAGGGGCTGCTCGCACTTTGCCTCTGATGCTTGGCAGGGGTAGAAGAGTCGGAAGAGGCTCCCCTGGGGAAGAGAAGAGAGCAGCTGCTGGGCCAAGAAGCCTAGGCATTGTGAGTCAGCAGAAGTCTAGGCACCAGCCAAACTGGACGCCACTGCAGAGAATCAAGGCTTCCACAAAGCTAGAAACAATTTTGTTAGCACATAGAACACACAGCTATGTTCTTCCCACTGTCAAGCTGCATTTTGAACTACATACTGGAACAGCACGGCACCAAAAACACTGAGAGAGTTCGTGGGCCCAGGCTTGGTGTGAACGGAGGAACCCGATACGCCCTTAGGTTGAACAGGGCATCAGCAGTGGGTCACTCTTCCAGGCTGCCTCTCAGGAGGCAGCACTATGCTTGATCACAAGGGACCAGGAAGTGGGCATCTCTCACAGGATAGAGAAGAGTCCAACCACCAGGAATAAAAACCTAAGAATCTGCTAGGCCACAGTGACACATGCCCGGAGTCCAGAGACGGGAGGATCAGGGACTAATTTCTGGTCATCCTTGGCTGCATTTCCAGTTGGAGGCCAGCCTGAGCCACACCAGAAATCTGTCTCAAAAAAAAAAAAAAAAAAAAAAAAAAAATGTTTAAAGAGGAGGAGGAGACAAAGAAAACAAGAAGCCTGGAAACTGGCAGGAGCTTCAGAAGGTGGAAACAGACGGAAGCAGGAGACACCACCCTCCCACCCAAGGCAGGACAGTGTGCGTGGTCCCCAGTGCCTCCTGCACTGGCCTACACCAGAATGAGATGGAAACCCTTTCCAGGATCAGATGCCGGCACTCAAGACGGGAGGAAGGGTCTGTGAACGGCCTCTGAAGCCGGTGGCGCCTCCTCCTTGCTGAAGAACTGAGTTTCTCTGTCAACTGGGAAGGTTCTAATACTTTTTAAAAGGCAGGAAGACAGGCCTAACGGCTGATAACCAAAGCCAGCCCAGCTGTAACCCAACTCCCTGGAACTGTACACCTACAGTGGCGAAGTCCCCACACAAGCGCAGAAGCCAGGTAGTGCAGGGGTGGAGCTTGGGACACCTACCTCAAGACTCTGACCCACCATCACGTCTGTGCAGCCAACATGGTGGGGTCCCGAGATGGCTGGGAAGCACATAGACTGGCCGGTCCCCATCTCATCACCGGCTGGACCAAAGCCTGGGTGTCCTGAACTTGCTGGCTGGAAGACAGAGCACAGAACAGCCTCTTGCTGATCTCTTGCTCACTTGCTGCTTCTCTAGGTCATCTGTCATCCCTGTCCACTTCCTGACATCCTTATCACTCCGACCTTTCTGACAGCTACTCAATAAACCGCATGCACCATTTACGCTTGCTGTTTGCCAACATTTACGGGCTGGCTTGTTGGTTGTTGGTTTTGTGGTGGTGGGATGGGACCCAGGGCGCTGCACCTGCTAGCAAGTTCTCCATCCCCAGCCCTACGGACTGTATTCTTCATTTTCTTCTGGTGGGGTGAGGAGATGGTAGTGGTGAGCTAATCCTCAATTCCCTCAAAACTGACAAACACAAGAGGTGTGTGTGTGTGTGTGTGTTTCAGTTGATAGAGTGCTTGCCCAGCATCCAAGAAGCCCTGGGTTCAATTCCTAGCACCACATAAATAGTTGTGGTGATAAACACCTATAACCACAGCACTGAGGAGGTGGTGGCTGCAGGATTAGGAGTTCAGCTGCTTCACCCAGCTACATTGTGAGTTCAAAGGCAGCCTGGGACGCATGAGGCCCTGCCACGGGATTAACACATGCTGACACTGCACCTACCGTGTTCATCCAGCAGTAACAGCTGTAGAGATCACAGCCCAGACATTGTCCTTTTGTGGCTAATAGCACCCACTGAGATCTAGAGCTTCCTCTGCTAGCACTGTACTAAGCTCCTTACAGACACTGCTTCATCTAACACTCTCAGCAACTCCCTGAGAAAGGAGGTACCAGGACCAATTTTACAGATGGGCAAACCATGGCAGAAAGAGTTACCCTGGCTATGGGGGCATCTAACCCATGACCCACCCCGTTTAAAGCAACAGAATTTAGGTTCCTATTCCTTATAGCCAAAACCAACTGCACAGGCAGGGTCTGGGGCCCACATGATTTGTCTTGACATTATTCTGATTCCTCCTCTGGGAGGATCCCTGTGCAAGTCAGAGCATGCCTGAGCCAGAAGAGACCTCAGAGTTTATTACCACCAACGCTCCCTGCAATCTTCCCTTGACCCCCAATGACACACATGTGCATTGCTGAAAAAGTCAAGGTCCTGAGAGACTCAAAGAGCTGCTCAGGGTCACAGCACAACTACACACAGATCACCGCTGCCAATCATCCAGAAGGAAACCCCACAGAGCCCCAAAGAGTTACTCATTAAATAATGTTGGGAGGTGAAGATTTTCTTCCTACTATTCATTTTTCCCTTTTGTTTTCCCAATGCAAACTTGAAGATACCCACTATTACAGAGAGGAGGAGAAAGAGCTGAGCTCTGCAGCAGGCAGTGACTACTCAGCCAGAGGGGAGGAGGAGGAGTCTCGGAAGGTTCCCCCTCGTGACTGAGGGCACCCGCAGGAGAGCTGAAGCTGCAGCTGCAGGACACACGTGGAGCACATGATGGTGAAGCAGCTGCAGATTCTGTCGTAAAGGACAGAGAAAATGCCGCCGCTGGAGTTCTGAGGAGAGAGAGTGTGTGTCCCCTGAGCATGGGAGCAGAGAGCAGGGGAAGGCAGGAAAGAAAAGAAAGTGTCAGGAAAGGGCCTGTGAGACACAGAGGCAGCCAGCGCTGGCTGCGCAGGGAGAGAGGGCTATGTGCATACACATCCTCATGCATTTGTGTTGCCGTGCACACCACGCATGTGGATGAAAAAGTCAGCCTCGCATGTTGGGTTCCATGAGCTTCCCTTCCCACCTTGTTTGAGGCAGGGTCTCTCGTCAGCTAGAACTTGACCGCACAAGACCTCCCGGGATCTACCTGGCTGCCTCTCATTTCTCCATCGCTTAGATTATAGCGTACCATCAAGACAGGCCTGGTTTTTGTTTGTTTGTTTGTTTTTAATTCTTAAAATTATATTTCTTTATTTAATGTTGAGAATGCATGTGTGACGGTATGCTTGTGGGTGTCAGAGAACAACCTGAGAGAGTCACTTCTCTCCTACCTTGAGGAGAGATCAAACTCAGTCATGTTTAGCAGCAAGTGTCTCTCTCCACCTCACTGGCTTTTTCTCCTATAACGGCAGAGCCTATGTAGCCCAGGCTGTCCTAGAACTTGCTATGTGCATAGGCTAGCCCTGAACTCAGATATTCACCTGCCTCTGTCTCCTGCGTGTAAATGTTAAAGCCATGTGCCACCACACCCTGCCTCTTTTTTTTTTTTTTAATGATCCCTAAGGATCTGAATTCGGGTCCTCCTATCTGTGAGACAAGCCCCTTAGCAACTAAGCAGTCCCTAAGCCTGAGACCCAGCTCCTTTGCTATCTAGCTTGGGCACATTAACCTGATCTCCCCAAGCCTCATTCTGCATCTACATAAAGGGATTTGTATCAGTCTTTGGTTGCTATGGAGATAAATGAAACCATGCAATTAAAACACATTGCATGAGCAAGTATCTAGCCGTATTCATTGACTACAAGAAAAGCAGAAACAATAGAGCTCAGCAACGGTGTCGATTTGGGACCCAGAGGGAAAAGGGGGAGGCAAAGGTGAGGCAGGACTCTATGCCCAGGACTTTGTGCCCGGGGATTTTTGTCTCATCTGAGCTCAGTCCTTGGGTCGGGCATCAGGAATGATATTCGAACATAGTCGTGGAGATGCGGGTATACAGAACCCTGGTGATCTCGGCAGGCTTCTGAGAGGGCCCATCAACCAAATTCTGCTTGGAAATAAATAAAACCAAAGAAGATAACTGGCCAGGCTGAGGCTAACCTGAAAACAGCCTGACTTCCCAGGCTCAAGCTGACTGATACCCAAGGACAAGACAGGGGACAGAAGCCAACCTTACTTGCAACTACAACAAGACATCAGCCTTATTTCTCATAAATGGCATGGGATTGTTTTCTAGGGGGGCCGGTCAGGTATGTTCCATTGTTCACCTTGGCTCCACAATTCATGGCAGCGCCTGTCTGGAGCTTCTCCATCAACCAGGCCCAGTGAGCCTACCTAGTTTCCTGGGACAAGTATCTAAACTCCTACCTTCTTCCTCTCAGCTCTGAGCATGGCCCCCTACCTCACCTGGACTCCCCAAACAGGCTAGACAGGCAGTAGCTGTCTCAGAGACTGGCTTCCCATGTAGTCCATGTGAAATCTATGTCAGGGATTTTTAAACCTACTACTGAATTTCCCTGCAATCCCTAGCACTGTATTTCCTCTATCTGCAGAAAAATCAATGTGTTTGTTTGTTTTATGGGAGCCTAGGGCAGGAATGCCAGGCAAGCACTTTGCAAGCTATACTCCCAGCTCCAAGTTATGTTTTTAAGTCCTCCGTGTTTGTGGTTTTTCAGGGAGGGCTTTTCTTTCATGCAGACACACATGGTCACATGCATGCAACAAACACTGAAAGCACCCTATGGACTTATCATCTCAAAGGGCAAAACCCAGAAACACCTGGGTTAATGTAGGCAAAATGGCTCAGCGGGCAAAGGAGCTTGCCTCTAAGCCTAATGTTCTGTGTTCAGCTCCCAGAAAATACATTATGAAAGAAGAGGAAATCCACCCCTGGTCCTGCCATTGTTCTCTGACCTCCACACATTCACCATGGGACAAAGATACCCAGTCACACTAGAATAAATAAATGTTAAAAAAAAATTACTCTCTCCAATAAGTGCTATTTAATATTTAATTTTTTGCACACTTATATCTTTTCTCTTCATGTGAACTCCACTGGAGTAAAGACCATGCTTTAGACAAGTAATGGTGGTCTACAATCCTAGCACTGGAGAGGTAGAGGCAGCCACATCTCTGAGTTCAAAGCCAGCCTGGCCTACAGCGTGAGTTCCAGGACAGCCAGAGCTACACAAAGAAATCCTGCCTTGAAAAACCAAACCAAACCAAAAGTTATTATGCTTTGTATCTGCAGGACAAACTATCTATCACATGCTTCCCACAGGCAACAAGGACCCCCTATGTCTTCTTTTGGCTTTAAAATCGTTCAATTTTTCTCCTCATTGTTCTGAGGCAGGGTCTCTCTGGGTAGCCCAAGCTGGCTCCAAATTCAAGAGTTCCCTATTCACCTCTCAAGTGATAAGATAATAGGTAAGTATCACTATATCCAGCTCAATTAGGCTTTTTTTTTTTTTTTTTTTTTTTTTTTTTTTTTTTGAGATAGGATTTCTCTGTATTGTTTTGGAGCCTGTCCTGGAACTCGCTCTGTAGACCAGGCTGGCTTTCAACTCAGAGATTCTCTTGCCCCTGCCTCCCGAGTGCTGGGATTAAAGGCGTGAGCCACCAACATCTGGATCTCAATTAATTTTTAATCTGTGATGTTTATTAAAAAAATGTCTATGCTATAGAGGGAAAACTTTTGAATTCCATCTCTGTTATTTACCAGCTGGCTGTGAGATCTATCTATATATGTATAATATACACATATATTTATTTATATTAAATATATTATGCATATTTAAATAATATATAACATTTATTTATCTATTGGAGGGGTGCCATGGCACCCCATGTGGAGGTCAGAGGACAACCTGCAGGAGTTGCTTCTCCTCTTCTACCATGTGGGTTCCTGGGATAGAATTCGGGCCATAGGGCATGATAGCACCTTTACCCACTGTGAAATCCAGCCAGCCACAGCTGGGGGACCTTCGACAAACGCCTTAAACTCTAACCCTGTTATCAGCTACTCATGAGGTCAAAGATTATGTGTGTAAAGTGTCTGGCACACTGTAAGACACTAAGGCGTCGAGAGGCAGCTGTAACTATGTTAACAGTATGACTGCCAAGTCTAACTCCCTTATATGTGAAACAGGGACACTTCATTAGTGAAGTTTAACGGAGACAATTGGTACTGCCTAAGGCCTGGTACACTGTAATTACTCCTAAAACGTCAGCAACTAATCAGTAATGCTGCGGCTCTCTTTCAAAATACCTAGCTGAAGTCTTCCTTTTTCCTCACATAGACTGCTTCAGCAGAAGTAATCCTCTTCTCCCAGGCTTTTCATGCCTGAGACACACCTACCAAAGTGCACTAAAGAGGCCCAGAAGAGGCCAAAGGGAAAGGAAGGGACTTTCACTGCAGGGCTGTCCTCCTGGGGTCCTGCTTCTAGCGAGCACCTCTGTCCCTCTGCCAGCTCTGTGGACCTTTTCATCACCGCCTATTTCAGGCCAGAGTCCACGATAAGCACCCCTCTTGGGCTTCCTTTCAGACAAAGCTCTCTGGAGGTTACGGGCTCCGGGCCTGTCTGATCTTTGGTCTCTGGAGGAAGTGAAGAAATAACCCGACCCGGTCTTAGATGAAGACATCAAGGGCTCAAGGGACCGGGTTGAGCAAAGAGGCGGCAAAACTAGAAAAGCTGCCCTGATAAGAACGTTCTAGGGCACCAACAAACGGCACAAAGAAAACCTCTGTTGCTTGTGGAGGCCTTGCGGTTTACAAAACACTTTCATACACTGTAATACAGAAGAAGAAAGCGGGTCCCCGAGAGCCTGTGCGATCGATTTGCCCACGGTCGCGGGGAGTGAGGCAGAGTTCTTTGCTGCACTTCAAGTTCACAACACTGGGAGGAAGAATGTGGCAGTCTTCTTCCACCAACAGGACAAAGAAGAGAGGAGCGCAGCGTGGAGGACAGAAAGCAGCCGGGGCTCAGGGACGTGGCATGGGGGTGGGGGTGGGGTGGGGGTGAGGGTCAGGGCGGGGATCTCGGGGCGTGGGGCTGACAGTTCGTGGTGACCCTGGGAGGGCTTAGGTGCTGGCGGATTCTGTCGGGACTTGTCTGAATAGGAAACAGAGACAATGAAGAGCATAGATTAGCGGGCAGATTCTGAGACTGAGAGACTAGAAGGTCCTGGGACGTGAAAGGGTCTTTGAATAGCTCAGTTGAGAACTGGAGCTTTCGTCAATCAAACTTACCCAGTCCAGCTGATCACTCAGAAGCAATCTCAGAAATATTGCTGGACGGAAACCCGACACCGCCCAGGAGCCCGTAGCCCTCTGGGAGTAGTAGTTCCTTTCATTTAACGTGGGATCTTAACCCCTTATTGTGCCTCTAGGTGTTAAACTACAAGTCCCGGAGCGCAACGCGAGAGACGGCGCCTTGACATCCCAGGTCTGTAATTCCCAGGGTTTCTGACTACACCCTTGGATGCGTGAACCGGCCAAGGCCAGGGATGCGGTGAGATTGCTCCCCCTGGTGGTCCGAGGAGCAACAGCCGAGGTGACAAGTCTCTAGCGGAGGGTTCTAGTACTGGAAAGTAACCCTCCGCCTCACTGATCCTCACGTAGTTCCCAGGCGTGCCTAGAAATATACCCTACTACACTTTGTTCTCAGGAAGATGTAGAGATGGGATGCTGTTTTCCGTTCCTGTAGATGTTGTTGCCTGTGAAAATATGAGATTGATTGTTTTGACGTCACATGTCTTGCTGTCCAGCGCTCCTGTTGACACCTGCGATTTTCCATTGTTCTCAAGGGACAGGGAGGGATCCTGGGGATCCACATCTCAACTGTCCTTCTTCTATTCACCTCCATTTGAGTGCCCTGTGCTGGGTTTTTAGAGACACACTGATGAACAAGATATTGTCCTAAGGGTCAAGAGAATTCACTATCTGGCAGAATTCAGGCAGGGGTGGGAGAACCAGCCAGTAAGGAAAAAGGGCAAATAATAGCAGGCTGGTATCTTACCACTGTGTACTTTGTGATCAGAGATCGTAGCAGTATAATATGTCTAAGAATAAAGACTGTGCCGTCTGCTTCCTGAATAAGCTGAGATCTTTGCTGTTCTTCATCTTGGCGCCCATGGTCTTTACAGCGCTGATCATTTACACCAGACTTAGCTAGTGTTTGGATGGACAACCTTGGATTCCCTGTTCTTCCGCCCTGCTGAAGCAGGACACTACGTTCTAAAATCAAGGTGAAATTAATATGTAATAAGCTATTAGTTTTATTTTGTTTTTTGAGAGGATTTTTTTTTACTATGTAGCCCAGGCTAGCCTCAAATTTGCACTCCTCTTCCTTCCATTTCCCAAGGGCTGAGATCACTGACACATGATATTATGACCAGACTAAACACTCTGATTTTAAATTTTTTTGAAAGGTTTACTTTTGTCTTCTGAGTGTTTTCAGTGCATGTATGTATGTGAAGTGCATTTATACGTGTGCATATATGTATGTGTGTATACATATATGTATATGTATATATGTATACATATATTACATATATATAAAGCTGGTGCTTATGGAGGCCATAATAGAGTGCTAGACCTCATGGAACTGGAATTAAAGATGGCTGTACACTACCATGTCCAGCCTGGGTCCTCTGGAAAAACAGTCAGTGCTGCACCAGTGGGCACGCACATGGAGACCAGGGCAGTATTTGGGCTGTCTCACTCTATCACTCCCCACCTAATTGCCTTACTATAGGTCTCATACTATACTAGAAGCTCACTCTTTGGGATAGGCTGACTTATCAGTGCACTCTTGGGATTCACCTATCTCTGCCCCCCTATGTTGGGTTTCAGTAACATGCAACCATGCCCAGTTTTTGATGTGGGCGCTGTGGATTCAAACTCAGGCTCTCATGCTTATATAGCAGGGGGATTTCCCCTCTCGGCCATCTCCTTGGTTCCCCGGATTTTTAAAAATACTGTTTTATTTTATGTGCATGGGTACAGGTATGTAAGTGCACCGTGTGTATACATTGTACCTAAAGAGGCCAGAAGAAGGGGTCAGATCCCCTGAAACTGGAGTTACAGGCCTTTGTGATCTGTCATGTAGGCTGTGGGAGCAGAACCTGGAGCAGTTGAGTGCTCTTAACTGCTGAGCCATCTTTCCAGAGCATCTCATGTCCCTCCCAACCCTGCTGTTGTTAAAGCCTCTCCCTGTAGAACATTTCCAATACCCAGAAAGTTGCCACTGCAACTTAAAACCAACCCCCTCCTGACCACTAGAGAGAGAACTGCTGTCTTCCCTTGTCTTATCCTTGCAGGGTTGGAGGCAAGCCATACTGCAAGTTTTGACAATGCTATTGTGTGCTCCCTGAATGACACCTGTCAATGCCATTCTAGTCCAAGGCCACAGGGACACACCTGTCAGTAAGCCAGCCTTGTAGCAGTGAAGGGCAAAGAAGGTGCTGGAGACACAACCAATTCAGTAAGAGGGAGTTGGCAAAGGACTCCTTACCAAGTCCTGGTTTCTGTTAGGGTCTTTGGGTGAGTACTAAAAGAAACAGGGCTTTGCTTTGAGGTGGAGGCTTCCGAGAAGTGTCAGGGCCAGAGAGCTGGCCAGAGATAGGTAAAGGCAATTGCCACCAAGCCTGACAGTATGCATGTAGTCTCAGAGCCCCTTTTCAACGGAGCTTGCAGCATAGGGAGAGACACACACAGCAGGGATGGAGGAAGGCGACACCAGACAGATTAGATGATTCAACCTTGGTGATCAAGACAGTGACTGATGCTGTGGCCACCTGGCCCTCACATTCGAGAAGGCAGTGTCCCATCTGAATCCAACCATATCTATCAGCCAGTGATTTACCATGTGTCACCTGTGTCATTAGGAACTTCTGTTTTTTCTCTTTAATCCTCCTGTGGAATGCGCTTTACTATCTATCTATTTCCAGAAGAGAAGAAAAAGCCTTCTCATTTTTCATGCAAGAAAGGTAACAACAGACACTGTTGGTGCTCACCCTATATCCATCACCTCTGCCCTGACTCCCCTTGGCAGTATGGTCATTTCCAGACTGCTAAGAGCCCCTTCGCTCAGGATCTGGCTTCTGTCTTGCCTGTGGTAAGTGCATGCAGGAGCAGAGTGGCTCATCTAGTAGTGGAGAGAGGGCAGAGACTACAGGAAGGGGCAGGGAAGAAGGGACACCCCCTTAAGGCACACTCCCAGTAACCTACTTGCTCCAACCAGGCCCATTAACCTAATAGCCTCCTAATAGCCTGAAGTCATTGGTGGGTTAACTCACTGGTAAAGTCAGCATCTTAAAGAACAAAAGTCACTTCTCAATGGTGCTTTCAGCTGGGGATGTGGCTCAGTGGGTAGAGTGATTGCCCAGAGTGCACCAAGTCCTAGCACCAGTAGAAAATTGAGTGTGGTGGCATATGCCCATAATCCTAGGTACAGACCGAAGAATCAGAAGTTCAAGTCATCCTTGGCTGTAGAATGAGTTTGAGGCTAGCTTGAGCAGTACAAGGCCCTATCAAAACAAAACAAAACAAAACAAAACAAAACAAAACAATTGTGCCACCAGCTGGGGACTATGGCTTTGTTTGACACATAGCTTGTTTTAGGTGAAAGGGGGCAGGCATGTCACATCCAAACCATAACATTCATCTTCACTCCATCCCTGTACCCTCACCTGTCTGTCCATCATGGGAAGGACCATGGCTGTGCCCAGTGCTTGGCATTCCTCATCTCCCTCAGTTAGCGTGATAGACTTAAAAGGTCGGGCATACCACCTCCAGTTTGAAGGCAGGAAGCAGGAGACGGAGACCAGGTGGCTTGCCATGGTCTTCTTCTCAGCCAGGATTGGAACTCCCATCTACCTGTTCTGCTGTGACATCTCGACTCCAGGTTACAGCAAGGACTGGAAATGGAATCTCTTCTGTGCCCATAGTCCTCTCTCAGGCCTGACTCCAGGCCTGGATGGGATTTCCTAGTTACCAGAGCCCTGGCTAGGAGAGGCAGGGACCACAGAGCCCCCCAGAAGAGCAGGCGGAGGGAAGCTGGGCAGTGCATTCTGTATTTTGCTTTCTGACTCCCTCCAGGCCTTTGAGAGTTTACTTGGCCTCAGCAGCATCCTGCTTCCCAGAATCTCTCACCAGAAATGATTGGTGAAGACAGTGCCAGTTCAGAGATGCTAGAGGCCAAGGCAGGGCCCAATTCCCACTCCCAGTCTTATCTTTCTGGCTCCCAGCCCAGTTATCACCCACTCCATCAAAAGCCTGGCAGAGGCTTGCCTGCCTGCCAGGCATAAGGCAGCCTGGAGGTATGAAGCTCTCATGTGTTTTGAGATGGGGAGAGATACCGAGCAGGTTGAGAGTAGAGAGGTTACCAACCACGATATCAGCACTTATTAACCCTTCTGGGGCCTGTCATAACCTTGACACAAAGGTAGTGGCCCTTGTCAACAGCCCTGAATGCTTCCCACATGTGGGACCAATGCCTTCTTGCCAGCCAGATTCGTTCTTCCCCATGCAGAGTGACCACCAGTCTCTGGCGGGCACACACCTGGCTGCCTCTCTGTTTTCTAACAATTGTGTGCGGCTCTCATCGATTCGGCAGGATAGATGTCTCTCTGCTGCCTGCCTCCCCTGCCGTCCCCCCCCCCACAAGGCCCCTTGGTGTCTCCTTAATAGAACTGCCCCCATCATGTGTCACAAAAATGAAATGACCTCCTAGCCTTCCTGCCTTAAGTCTCTTTAGTCTGCTGTTTTGTCACAGGGATGAGAAATAGTCTAAGACAGTCTTGCTAGTAGCCCAGGCTAGTCTTGAACTCATAGCAATCCTCTTGCCTCAGCAATTTGCATGTGGATCATAAGCGTTAGCTGTCATACCCAGCTTGTGTGGATTTTGTTCTAAGTCTGATGGAAGCCACTGGGGTTGGCTTTAAACTATTGGCTACAGGGGCTGCTGGGAAGTGCTTGCTACGCAAGTATGTAAATACTGGCTGGGTGTGGCAGCCCACCTGCAATTCCAGCAAGAGACAGGAAACCCAGAACAAGTTGGGTAGCTAGGCTAGCCATACAGGTGAGCTCTGGGTTTGATTGAGCGCCTTGCCTCTCAATAAAGTGGAGCGTGATTGAGGAAGAGTCCCAATGTCAGCCTTGGGTCTCCACATACATGTAGACACAGGAATGCCCACACATGGATATGCTCATACTCACATACACACGAAAAATGTAAATACTGGCTGCACTATTGCTTAAACTTGACTCAGGCCACAGATCAAGTCGTCTTTCATTAAAAGACCTTTTTCTTATAAGTCTCAAGAGCAGGGTGGGCATCATGTCCTGGGAGGGCACCCAGAGAACCTGCCTGAAAAGTTAGAGGGCAGGATTCTCTAGTGTGGTCTCCTTGGGAACAGGAGGGAGGTATGGCAGGAGGGTAAGGCCCGGCCTATCTGCACCAAGCACAGGGGTAT